TATCAGCAACACTTATGTTGGGAGCGGAAAAGCTTGCCTAGCACCTTGTCTTGGCAGAAGACAAACCTCAGAGATAATTTTACAATGTTTTCCCCGCACTCTTTAGAACTGAATAAACTGATGGGAGGAGCAAAGGGAGAAGAAATCATATGTGCATGCTAGAAAACACCACAGGGGTGTTGACCTGGATCTCAGTAACCTGTGAAGAGATGCTTAACAAACAATAGAGCAATTTCATGCAGCTTCACAGAGAAGGAAAACAGCAGCATGTACCACATGTTGATTTAAAAGACAAGTGACAAGAGCACAGTGGCTTTGACTAACACATAAAACTGGGACATTTCAGGCTTTGAGTTCCTTCATCAAAACTGACCCCTTTCCCCAAATGCATGAGCTGGTCCAACTAAAAAAAAAAAAAAAAGTATCAATGTTACATTCGTTATTTCACCATCCTTATCTCTTATCTCTCTCCCARATGTTTCCCAGAAAATCTAATGTAAACAAAATGCTGTTTTAAAATTAATTCCTGACCTCTTCACCAGTTTAAGCTAACTGGGAACCGGTTTTGAAGCACACTTTGTTAAGCAGAGTCTTGAGGATGTGGAAGGCTTCAGTGCATTCTGTGGGACCACCCTTCTTCTCAAAATTAAAACCATGCCTTTAGACTTTCCARCCCCCTCGCAGGGCTTCCCTTTCTGAACAAAGCAAGGAACACCTAATTTTTGCCTCTCAGCCTGACAGCACACACCAGAAAAAGGATCACGACTGTTCAGAAGGAAATACTCAACTTAAGCCTTCCCACGACTCTGCCCTAAGAGCTATAGCTGGCACACACAGCTCTAATTCTGCTCAGGAAACCAGGAATTTCATAAAAACACTGCCAGAGAGCTGAACTGTGCTTGTCAAAATGTACTATGTATGATGGGAAATGAAGTTACCCTAAAACAAGTCCTTCAGCTTGTCTTTCTCAAGCACCACTGTGGGAGAACAGTACACGAACATGTCAGAACAATTCCTCCGTAACTGCAACCTACTTTCAGCCGCTTCAATTGCTGCCAAACCCAGCGTCTCTGCCTTCTACAGGAACGCATTTCTCGGTTTTGGTTGATTTTTTTTTTTCCTCAAAACAACTGCGTGGTTTTGTACCAAAGCTAGAGCCAGCTGTCAAGAGTTTCAGATCCATGCAGGCTGACACGCTGTGGAGCAACTGCACAAATAAAAGGAATCTTTGCATTGTTCATGCCCAAAACAACGACCAGGTCTGGTCTTGCATAACTCTACCAAGAGAAAGAAGTAACTGCAGTTGTTCTGCAAGACATTCTATGCTTGAGACACCGAAGAAAGAAATAATTACCGAACTGCCCTACTGACAAGGCAGAAGCACAAAGCAGGTGCTCCTAACTCGCAGCTGCACCAGCTACAGGAAAACCAGGAGGTTTATGTGGAACACATAAAAAGAAGAGCAAAGAAGAACAGGTCTGGAAACCGATTTAYTACGGGAGGTCACAACACAACGACTCACCTAGAGATTTAGCTTTCAGGCAAAAAACACCTCCGGGAAATCCCCCCCTTTCCCAATACGTCGCTCCTCAAGCACARCAGACCCCCAAAATGCAAGTCCTTTCCTGACACACAGCTGCTGGGCACGAGCGAGGCTGAGCAGAAATAGCCTGAAGGGGCAGGGTCCCGCTGCCGGGGTCAGCAGCAGCCCCCGGGGGTGCAGGGCCCCCCCAACGCCGGGCACGGCGGGCTCTGGGCCGGAGCCCCCACGGCCGCCGCTGCTGCATCATCCCCGCCGGGCCCGGCCGCCCTCCCTCCGCGCAGCCCCGCGGCCGCCCCGCCGCCCCGGCCCGCGGCCCTCGCTCACCTGCGGGATGCCCGGGGCGGTGCCGCCCCCGCCCCAGGCCGGGCTGCCGGGAAGGGCCGCGGGCCCCGAGCGGCGCGGGGAGGCGGCGGAGGAGCGGCGGGTGCCGCGCAGGCCGGGGGAGGAGCGGGGCCGGGCCCGGCGGGGCGGGGCGGGGCGGGGAGGGACCGAGAGGAGGAGGTGGTGGCGGCGGTGACCCCGCGGGGACCCGGGGTCGGTCCCGAGGGTTCCAAGCAGGGCACCCGCGTTACCGAGCGGTCGGGGCTCAGCCCCGCGGCGGCTGCAGGAGGAGCGAACCCCGGCTTCTTCGGCTTCTTCGGCCGGCAACCCAACAGCGCGGCTCGGTGCCTCGGTCAGCGGGGAGCAGCCGGGCTGGAGGAGCCACGTCCCGCTGCAGGGCCGAGCTCTAAACCCGGCTGTGGGACCAACGCTCCCCACGGCGCCTTCTGTCCCCGGCGCCCCTGACAGGCACCGGCCACCGGCAGAAGCTTCCCTGCCGGGATTGCGAGAAATGGAACGAGCCTCGTGACTTACAGTGGGTCTTGTCAGAAAAGACAGTGCGTGGCTCGGGGGGCACGGAGGGCTCCCAGGCCCGTCTGGGAGGGCACGGGGCGCTGCCAGCCCCGCTCGCCGGGACCGCGGCTCCTGCCCGGCCAAGGTGCGGGCACAGAGCGGCACCGCCCGGCTTCGKCGCGGGGTTGTGGCGTCATCGCCGCGCGCCGCGCCAGCGGGACGGGAAGCGGCGGTGTGGCGGCCGTGCCGCGGAGCAGCAGCCGCAGCTATGCCGGGCCAGAAGTCCTTCCGCCGGCGCAGGGAGGACGAGGACGAGGAGGAGGAGGACGAGCAGCTCGCCGAGGAGGTCAGGTGGGTCGGGAGCCCGGTCCCGCAGCGGTCGGGGATGAGGACGGGACGGGATCCCGGGTCTGCTTTAGTCCAGCAGTGCGGTGTCCGCGCGTCACCACATCGKGTCATGTCGTCATATCGTCACATACAGCTGTGCTGCTGGCGGTGGCGTCACATCGTGTTGTCGTGTTAAACCTCTGTGTTATTGTGTGATTGCATCACAACATGCGTCATGGCCTTACAGGATCCCAGAAGTTATGGCTTTCTCTGTTGAGAGAGAAACACGTGAGATTTCAGTTCACCGTCATCTTCCTTCAGAGTCACTCATGCGTGGATGTATTTTGGCTCTTTCTTCCCAAACTGGTGGCTTCTTAAAGCCTTTTAATGTTTGAGTGCTTCCTTCCTCAGGTGAGGGAAGGCATCAGGAAGGARCAGGGTGTCCAGCAGGTGTCTTGTTTTTGGTTTTTTTTTTCGATTGCTCAGATGTATGGTATTGCTTAAATAATTGCTTAAAATACTTGAAACCTGAGAAGTGGACACTGATGTGCAGAAGTTTAAGGCAAAGTCGGATAGAAAATTCTGTGTTAACTGCAGAAAATAAAATGTATGAATTAAAACCAAAGCATCAAGTACTAAGTCAAATGTATTWTTTTCTTTAGGTTAAAACTTGAGGAAGCCAAAGAAGTTCAGAGCCTCAGAAAGCGGCCCAATGGGGTGAGGTAAGGGATGTGGCACCAGGGAGGGGAAGCTGTGTTTTGTCCAGGGGTGTGATGTGGCAGTCAGTTTCTCTCTTGTCATCTGCTTCCTTCCAGTACAAACTGTTATGTCAGATACTGCCAAAATTATGTYCTWARTAGAGGAGTTTCTTTGTTAAAGCCTGAGGATGGAAAAGACAGGGAGAYTTAGAGAAGGATAAAGCAATGGAGTATTGTTGGTACTACGTTTCCTTCTGCTGAATTTTATCTTCTGTCTTTGTCTGCCTGGCCAGTGCTGTAGCTYTGCTGGTGGGAGAGAAGCTGCAGGAAGAAGCAACACTTGTGGTAAGTGCTGGACAGTTCCATCACCTCTGTGCTGAGATGTGACTCTGTGAGAACACTGACTGTGTGAGTCTGGCCTGGGGCAGGACTTGTGTCAAAGCTCAATTCCTAAACATTTCCTGTGATTTTGTCCAGATTTTGAAGACTATCATTAAACAAGAGGGAAGCTTCAGGGTTTCTTGCTGTTTCTTGTTTTGCAGGATGACCCATTTAAGATAAAATCTGGGGGAATGGTGGACATGAAGAAGCTGAAAGAAAGAGGCAAGGACAGGTGGGTGCATGTCAGCTCTGAAAGTCTCTCCCTGAACTAGTATTAAATGGCAGCTGGTAATTAACCACAAGTTGTGTCACATTGAACAGTTTCATGTAGTGTAGTTTCGTCAGTTACTTTTGCTTTAACTTGTTACTTTTAATTTAACTTGTTAAATTACTTTTAAAAAACCCACCACACACATCTCCCCCCAGAAAATCAAACAGCCAACAAAAAGAAACAACACCAAAACCTTTAAATATTGTGGTTTCCTCTTAGGATTAATGAAGAAGAAGATCTGAACTTGGGAACTTCCTTCTCAGCAGAAACCAACAGGCGGGATGAAGATGCTGACATGTGAGTWGTGCTGTGTTGTGTCTCTGATGTTGAATCAGGCTGGGTGGCCACTCACCATTTATTTTTTTCTGTCTTGGGATCTGAGTGGTCCCAKAACATTTTCCCAGTTCTCACTGAAAGTTTCCCTTGCCCTTTCACTTACTGCCTGCGGGAATTAAGAAGGCTTTTTCATGAACAGAGCTGGGAGGTGCCAACCAGCCATCTTGGCACTAAATCCCAAGAAGCCTTCCCTGCTGGCTGTGAAAGAGCTTGAGGAGGAGCTGATTGTTCCTTGGATAATCGATTCTTGCTATTCATGTTATCTCAGTTGTTTTGGAGACGTTATTCTTTCCTCTCCCAGCTCTCAGTACAGGGATGCGTTGTGTTCAGTAGTGCTGGGACAAGAACAGGAATAGAATTAAATGCCTTGTCCCTTGTGTGCTGCTGTTTAGGATGAAGTACATTGAGACTGAGCTGAAGAAGAGAAAAGGAATTGTGGAGAATGAGGAGCAGAAGGTGAAACTTAAGAATGCCGAGGATTCTCTCTATGAGCTGCCAGAGAACATCCGTGTCTCCTCTGCCAAGAAGACTGAGGAGATGTTGTCCAACCAGATGCTGAGCGGCATTCCTGAAGTTGACCTGGGAATMGAGTATGTGTTTSACAGATCTGTGGGAGATGGCCAGGATTGCCAGGATCAGCAGCTGTGGGTCGGCAGAGCAGCACTGTGCCTGGAATACACAGCCCCAGTTTGGGATGGCATGGGSTTGAGCCTTGTTCTGGATTGGTGTGCTAACTTGCACAGCACATCCTACACAGCCCCAGGGCTTGGTGCAGCTCCATCCTGTGGGAAGAGGCTTTTAACTTCTGTGACCTGACCCCAGCAGCTTTCTGTGGGACCCCTTTGTACCCTGCACTGAAAGGATACATCAAGATGGGAGTTTTGTCTTTGAAACAGTGTCTGTTTCTATAGCACTGCCTCCTCTCTCACATACCACAATGCTATTACTATCCCCCAAATCCACCCACTAGCACTTCTATGCCTGCTGCCCTTTCTAACCATGACTGAGTATTTTTTCTTYTGTTTGTCTTCTAGTGCAAAAATAAAGAACATCATCTCAACTGAAGAGGCCAAAGCCAAGCTGCTGGCAGAGCAGCAGAACAAAAAGAAAGACAGTGAAACTTCCTTTGTTCCCACCAACATGGCTGTTAATTATGTCCAGCACAATAGATGTAAGTCTTGAGCGGTTGTCCTGACCCAGAGAGGTCAGAGACAGAGAAACTGGGACAGAGTAATTARTCCATGTATCAGCATGTCTGATTGCTTTTCCTGGGATGCTCATACAGACTCCATCTGGCCTGGTCTTTTTCTTCTGCCCATCAGCAAGGAGAGGGATACACTTCTCATGGCTGGGCTTTCTGAACTCCCAGCTCACATTGCCTCATACATTTCAAGATGTTTTCTATAAAATGTGCCTTGAACATGTACTAGAAATGATAATGTATGATGGAGAAGCTACAGTCTGCGAGCTGCCAGAGCACACTGGTGGCCAAGCTAGCACAGACTTTACTGGACAGGAGACAGGAATTAATTTCTGTGTGATYCTTTGATGCTGCAGACATCTAAAGGGAAGGCAGCCTTCTGCTACRTCCTTCCAGTCCTACAGGGGCAGTGGGAGTCAGGCTGGTGGGGTCTGAAGGAAGCGAAGAATGGGCCACTTCTTATGAAATAATACCACTGAAATTTGCTGTATCTTGTCTCTACTGATTATCCATAGAAACCAATTCCAAGAATGGTTGTTCTGAGTTTTTGTTGTTCTACTAAAGGTCATTTCTAACAAATGCCACAGAAATTTGAAATCTGGATAAGAGTGCTCCAGATAAATTCTTTACCTAATGTCTTCCTTCTTGCAGTTTATCATGAGGAGCTGAAYGCACCAGTGCGAAGGAACAAAGAGGAGCCAAAGCCCCGTCCACTGAGAGTGGGGGACACGGAGAGACCAGAACCTGAGCGTAAGTTCCAAATCCAAATGGTTGTCGGGAGGGATACTGAAATTCTGCTGAGATCTTGCACAGAGGAACAATCTGGCTCTGTTTACCTCCTCTTTGGGTGCCCCGAGCTAGTGGGAATGGAGCAATCCAAGTCCAAGAGAKCTGGCTGTTGCACTCCTAGATCACACCTGAAACCCTATGGATGGAGGATGTCTGTAGAGATGCTCAGGGGTGGAGTGGTGAAGGTCACAACWGAAGTGTGTTGCCAAAGCTGTCTGGCAAGGGTTTGGTGGAAGCTGGAATAGCAAAGGATCCAAGGCTGGGGAGCATTTACCACCTTAGAGCAGTAATCTCACGTAGTGAGGGGCTGTGTAAGGGAGGTGGCAGAGTTCAGGAAGTATCTCCTGTGAAAGGACAGAGATATAAAATTTCCTTCTCTTCTTTTGAAGGGTCTCCTCCAAATCGCAAACGTCCYCTCAATGAAAAAGCCACAGATGATTATCACTATGAGAAGTTCAAGAAGATGAACAGGCGATACTGAAGAATATTGTCCAAAGCCTTTGGAGTTGTTCCTATTTTCCACTAATAAAGGATTTTGCATCAGTGACCTGCGATGGATGTTGGAAAGACCTTCACATGCTGATGTTACCTAYGAAGCTTTTCCTGTGTGATCTTGTAGTGAATCAGTTTGCAGGTGATTGTGAACTTTTTGGTCGGTGAAACCTTGTATATAACTATGTTCTTATAAATGGACTTTTATAATGGAAAATGAGCTTTCATGGTTGGCATTTTTTAGTGAGAAGGCAAACTTTATAGATTTCTCTTTTCACCATCTTGAAGAAAAACCTAAAAAAAAAGAGATCCTTTAAAAGCAGCAGTGCTGTTTGCTTTGTAAATGAAAGCTCTTGGGAGCTTGACTTCTTGTCCACATGTCTTCCCCAGAAGTATTATGTGGGTACTTGTAGTGAGGATTTGTAACTTGAAAATAGTAAAAGTGGTTTTTTAAGTTATTATAACTTTTTTCTTCTGGATTTCATGCTGATGGTTTTTTCCTGGTTTGTGGGTTTTGGTGGCAATGATGGCCAGGTTGTCCCATTACTCAGAAATGGCAGCTCCAGGATGGGGAAGGACAGCCTCAGATTTTACATTTTCTCAGAAAAGGGGAAGAATCTCTGTGCCATGCTGTGGGCAAGTTTGCCCCTGATCTTATGCGCTGTGCAGGTCAGGGGAGGATCCCCTGAACAGCTGGCCCTAAGCTGAGACAGGGGAGATTTAGATCAGATATTAGAAACAAATTTTGCACTGCTTGGGTGGTTAGGCTTTGGAATGGCCACCCAGGCAGGCTGTAGAGTCACCATTGCTGGAGGTATTTAAAGAGGCGTCTGGATGTGGCACTGAGTGATAGAGGTTTTAGTGGTTTACGAGTTGCAGGGGCAGTGCTGGATGGACGGTTGGATATGATGATGTTAAAAGGTCTCTTCTAACCATGATGATTCTTTGATTCCTCCATTCTAACACGCGGAGACACGGCCACAGAGTGTAATTTTTAATAACTCCGCCGCGCGAGGCCGCCCGCCGCTGCTGACAGCGGCAGGAGCCCGCCCAAACATGGCGGCGGCCCCACAGCCCCTCAGCGCCCGCCCCGCCCCTTCCCGCCCAAACATGGCGGCGGCCCCGCCTCTCCCTCACCCGCCATGGCGGCGGCGGAAACGGCGCTGAGGGGCGGAAGCGGCGGCGCGGCGGCGGGGCCGGGCCGGCAATGAAGCTGCGGCGGGGCGCGCTGCGGGCGGTCCTGGCCCTGGCGCTGCTGCCGCTCCTCACGCCGGCCGGCGCCGTGGAGCCCATCAGCCTGGGACTCGCCATCGCGGGCGCCGCCGCCTCGGCCCTCACCGGTTTCATCTCCTACCCGCGGCTCTACTGCTACTTCAGGGAGTGCTGCCTGCACCGGCACGACCAGCGCGCCGCCGCCGGTGCGGGGCCGGGATGGGCTGAGGGGAGGTGGCGGGAGGTCGCCGGGGGAGCGGCGGTGCCGGGAGCCGGGCAGAGCCCGCGGGGCCTCGCCTGGGCCGCCGCTGCAGCCGGGCCGGCCCTTTGCCCCCTGCCCGGGCGGGGTGATCCGCTCCCGCCGCTGACAGTGTGATCTCTCCATGCAGCTCTGCAGCAGAATTTGGACAAGAAGCTGTTCGGGCAGCACTTGGTGAGCAAGGTGGTTGTAAAAGCCGTGAGGGGMTTCTTGAACAACACCAACGCCAAAAAGCCTCTCGCGCTTTCGTTGCACGGGTGGACTGGAACWGGCAAAAACTTTGTCAGTAAGATCGTCGCCGAAAGCATTTATAAAAGAGGTCTGCAGAGTAAATATGTYCATCAGTTCGTGGCAACTTTACATTTTCCTCATGCTCACAGCATCAATCTSTACAAGGTAAGAATGAAYTCTGCTGCAATGAGTTACAAATGTCATGGTTTGATCAGTACTACAGACCTAGATGTTATTTTATGCAGTAACATGTATTCCAAGGCAGCTTTGAAATCTCTACAGAACTGTCTAAATACTAACATYCATCAGGACTRGTTTTCCYATGAGTGTAAACTTTTTTGTATGTRTCTTGAGTCTTTYGGCTTRTGGTTTAATTTTCATTCTGTGCTTTGCTTACAGATGAGACTGACTTAAAGATAAACATGATTCCTTGTTAGGTGTTATGTTGGTGGGTACTGCAAAAAAGCAAATAGTTTATGACTCTGGGAAACAACCCGATCACTCCCAGCTTTGTGAGGCACCACGGCAAGCTGGCATTGGCTCTCTGAGGCATCAYTGTCAGTTCTGCTGCASGCTGAGCAGGTTATTTAGTTTTCTRTGGATCCATTWCCCAGCTGTAAAGCAAAATCACAAAATACTCTGCTGTCAGAAAGGTACAGATAATTGTATTTGGACTTGTGTCAGTTCTGTAAGCAGGGAGATATGGTGGAGCAGTAGCTCAGGTGTGTTTTTTATAGTTTTTTTTTTTTTTTTGTTTTAACTTTGTTCACAGCAGAGCTTGAATGAATACTCCTGTCTTGTAGTACTGCATGTTGATATTCAGTTTGTATGTGTTACAAATGGGAGCAGGATGGTCTACAAAGCTGATTTCTAAATGGAGGAAATACATATTTCCTCTTTTGTAACTTATTTCCCCCCTTCTTTTAACTGAGCTGTTTTGCAATAAAATGTTGCTTTTCAGTATTTGTTTTGTGGTGAGTACACTTGGGTAATTTGCTGTCCAAGGCAGTAGGAGGAAGTATTGCTGCTTATCCCCAATACACCTGTAGTTCAGGGACTGACTAAAGACTAAATGAAAGAGTGATGAATCACTAAAAATAGTCAGCACAGTTATTTCTTATTCGTTTACCAGCAGATCAACACTTCCCCCTCCCCCAGTTAATGCATTGTTAATCTTGAATGTAGCATTTGAGAGAAAAATGCAATGCTTATGTGAGAGGATCTTTCAATGCAGTAAAGCTGTAGTCCTTCCAAAAAAATTTGTGTTGTAAGAAGGATTTGTAATTGTCTTCATTAACTTCTTACTGATTAAAACATAGGGCTGAGAATTGAATTTTGTTTCTACTTCTGCCAGTGACTGCAGGTGCAGTTTCTCACTGCYGCTGTCCAGATAGCAAATTTAGTATTGCTCATATTAAGGATGTTTAGACCAAAGTGCTGCCAGAAGTCATCATCAGCTTTGTGTGGCTGTTCCTTGGTAGGACCCATTTTTTGTCCTACTGTGCACTTTCATTTTTGCTTTTTATAGTAATATCCAGGAGAATTCCTTCTTGTCCTATCCTGTCTCTTGGTGTGTCAAAATTTTTCAGAACCAGCASAATATTTTGTGGAGGTTTCATTCACAGCTTTTAACTGTGTTTTAGTCAAGAAACCAAAGGTATTAAAATTACACCATTGAAATGACTCTTTGTGGACAAGATTCAATAAAGAGAAAGTGCTATTTTCTGTCTTTTCAACACAAACTCTTTCAGCWTCTTTCATTTTTGTGGCCCTCAGGACCAGCTGCAGTCATGGATTCGGGGAAATGTGAGCATCTGTCCCCGGTCACTCTTTATATTTGATGAAATGGATAAAATGCATGCAGGACTTATTGACTCAATCAAGCCCTTTCTGGACTACTATGAGCTGCTGGATGGGGTGTCCTACAGACAAGCCATCTTCATCTTCCTCAGGTAAACAGTGGCTTCTCAGGCGTGCTGTTCTGGACACTTCATKCTTTTACTTCATAACTTCAACCCCCAGCTACAATCTCTGTTTTCTCTTACCCTAGCAATGCAGGAGCTGAAAAGATAACAGAGGTGGCACTAGATTTTTGGAGAAATGGGAGGACAAGAGAAGATATCCAGCTCACAGATATCCAAAATGCACTGTCTGTGTCTGTCTTCAACAATAAAAATAGTGAGTAAATTTTAAATTGCTTTTGAGGTAGTACAAGTTACACAGAAGGGATGGGCTGCATTTAGCTGCATTATTACATGCCATGTTTTTTGGTTTTTTTTAATGTGGCTCCCAGTTTTTGGCTTGTGAGAAGGAAAAATGGAGTTTTGGGGCCAGCAGTTGGCTCCCAAGATGAGTGAAGGTTAAGGAGCTCTGCACACCTTGGCCASCAGCCTGTTTGCTGCCTGTTGGACTGCATGTATTGGGGGAAGTGCTTCCTAGGTTTCCTCACACAGGACTTCTGGAGAAAAGGGGTTTCAACCTAATWATGCTCTAAATTTAGCGTTGGAAGCGAACTCACTGTACTTCTTAAAAAGTTTAGATGTAAGCTCCAAAAAAATTRATAAGAAAACTGGTCTGGAAGAGCTGATAAGGGATGGAAAATCTGTCCCTCTCTGGGTGAGAGAGGGGAAGGTATGAGACTAGCACCTGGAGAGCAAGGCTCAAACACAATCCAAATCATTCATTTAGCCTAAAGGATACATTTATGTGTCTGTCCMAAACTGTATGCACAGTGACATGAAAAGGGGCTTGTATTGACTTGGCATTATTGTGCCCTAAAATCCCCAGTGAATTCTGCCTCTTGCTCCCATTGAACAAGTGGCAGTGTTTAAGTAGAGAAGTACTAACAAACCTCTTCTCTTTCCCTTTTCAGGTGGATTTTGGCACAGCACCTTGATTGATAGAAACCTCATTGACTACTTTATTCCTTTCCTGCCTCTGGAATACAAACATGTGAAAATGTGTGTCAGGGTTGAGATTGAGTYGCGTGGCTACACTGTGGATGAAGACATTGTGAGCAGGATAGCTGATGAAATGACCTACTTCCCCAGAGAGGAGAGAATTTACTCAGATAAAGGATGTAAAACTGTGGATGCCAAGCTGGATTATTATTATGACTTCTAATGCTTTATTGCCACGACCTGCAAAGAAGCAAGTTTAATTTAATCACAAAGTGGGGGACCTGAGACATTTCATTTTTAAGTACTTTTTAAAGAAAGGAACACTATTTTGTAACTGGTGTGTAAATAAGCAGCAGTGCCTCTGCGTTTTTATTTTGTCATCAGTCATGGCTCCCAAGTGCTTCAGTTTTGTGCTGTGAAGGTAAGAATGAACTGCTTTGGGAATTCCTGTATCTGGCAGGGCTGAAGACTCCTTGAATCATGTGTTGATCAYTGGAACCCTTTGGCAGACTCTTGACAGGTATAGAAGGACTGAGACTGTGACCTAATTTTAATTTGATTTTGCTCTGATGTGGATGATCTCTAGACAATATTGAGAATTTTAATAACAGTTCCTGTGTCTYTGAAAGCCTTCATTGGTCCTGTGTGGGAATGTGCATGAAAAATAGAATATGTGTCTTTTTGCCTTCAACAGCTTGGGCCCAGTAAAGATAAGGGGGGATTCTGGAATTTAAAAATCTGGGCTCTTCTATCCAACATCGTTCCATTTCTCAAAACAGAGGTATAATTTGGTCTCCTGTGTGTCAAACCAAGAATATGCAAGTCTTTGTTGTGACAAGCATTCAGAGAGCAGACTTAATATTACAAGGAAGTGAGTTAAAATCCTTAAATGCCACAATGGTGTAGTTAGTTCCTATTTCTGGTTAGTTTTTTATATATAAAGTTGCCCACAGCACACTYTCCCAGGAATGATCTCAGGAGAGAGAGCTGTGCTCTGGGAGTRGTGAGTCAGCTTCATGGAAAGGATRCAACGTCATGGGARATGYGTACAGATTAAATTTTATACCATGGAAATGGAAAAGAGATTTCTTCACTTACCTGTTGAATTCAGGGGCCAGCTTGTAGGGGGTTTCCCTTTTTCATCTTCTCACCATACTGTGTGCCTTTGAGGCAGGGATGGAGGCAGATCTAAAGGCATTCAGAAAAACTCAAAAAGGGTGTCCACTAAAGTTAGTGCGAAGGGCGTCAGACTTGTTTCTGAAWGTGAGCACTGCAGAGGCTTTTTTCATGCCAGTTGCTGTTCAAAATAAACTTTTCTCATCAGAAATGTATTTCTTAGCTACCTGCTGGTATTCTTTGCATTCAGTGATTTGATATGAATTTTGCACAAATTTATTCCATATTGAGGAAACAGCACACTGCATTCCTGGCTGTTCAAACTGTGCTTTAGTACAGGTATCTCCCTTCTGGAGTTCAAAGGGCATAGATAGGAGGTGTCAGTCTTTGCTGGTGAAAGAGAAACAGATCAAGCTTGGAAACTGCACTTCTGGACCGTTGATACTAATTACAGTCGTGTGGTTTTTGTAGGGGCAGACTTCCTAGATGTATGTGAGCTCAGTAAGGATGAACTTGTCTCTAKAGACCAATTAAAACCCTGCTGCTCATCTCCTCCCACTGTGGTACCACTGCCAGAACACTACAGGCTCTGTTTGAAGCCACCCACATCTTCAGTGGCAGCATCTTGAAGTTTTCTCTGCAAGAGGGGARAAAAAGGGCCAATGCAGCTCCAAGTGTCCACTTGCTCTGAAAGTGTCTGATATGCAAATTATCAGTCCTGGTATTGGACAGCAAATGAGTGCTTTGAACTCARGGACTTATGTTTCTTTGACTTCCTGATTACAGCAAATAACTGGCTAATGGAAAAAAGCAGATGCAATAAACATCTACTACTGTCTGGTACCTTCTCCAGAGAAACAGTACAATCAAGCAGTCTTGTGGCTCTTCYAGAACTATCTTAGTTCTACTTTGTGTGCCACTGAAGTATGAACATAAGCATCCTGACATACATGGGTAGCCAGTATTTCATTGTATCACGGCCCTGAATGGCCTTGGGTAGATGGGAGCTACCCCTGGAGAGTAGGAATGATGTGGAAAGGGTGGAGATTGCATCTATTTAAACTCTCTTCTGTTCTACRGACCTGGCCAGGAGCAGTTCATCTGGGTGAAAGACATACCTGAGCCTGAAATCCCTCYCAGATTTGATCCTTCTGATCATATTGTTATTCCTCCCTTGTATGGTTTCAGAATTAAGCTCCTCACTCTTTCTTGCTGTAACTAGGTAACTGTGGCCATTGTTCTATTTAAAAGGCCATTTGAGACTGGATCAGATAACTTAAAGCAAAATGTCACGGGGGGGAAACGTCTGATGCCCATGGCCAGGTGAGAGGAGCATGTGCAGGCCCGAGAGTGAATTCTGTTTTTGCCAGAGTCCAGTACAAGCAGCTGCTGCTTCAGTTCAACCTGCAGGGATTGGTCTGAGATCTCACACTGTGCTCATAAAATCAGAGACCATGGTTTAAAGACACTGAAAGAGAAAGTGCTGCTCTCCTGGCAGCCAGARGCAGCCTGGTGTGCCCAGGGTGGAGGGAGAAGCAGCTGAGCTGTCCCATGAGTGGTGAAGTCCAGTTGAACAGCAGAGCCTGTGCTTCCCAGGCAGCTCCCAGACCTTTCCTGGTACATCTTTAGAGCACAGCACAGGGCTCACAACTGACCCTTCAGTGAGGTGGGAGCTGCTGCCAACAGCTGCCCCACATTTACAAAGGAAGTGTGACAGAAATGTGCAGTGCAGCTGGTTGCAAACTGCATAAAGTGGTACTTTCCCGTAGCTGAAAATAATTAACCAACAGAGAAAAAGTAACTTAGGATTTATTCCAACTGAAATACAGTAATATTAGTGTTTTGAAATGGCACAAGTATTTTCTTTTTGGAGTAAGTGAAACTGGATGCAGCATATACAACTATGAATAAGTCTGTTAGTAGGCAAAACATCACACTGAAAAGTGACAGTCCAATGTCCCAAGGTTAATGGCTTGCTAGCATTTGGCTCTGGAGATTGCATCAGTGTGAACAGTTTGCCAACATTTGACAAACTCYGGTGGTGCTGTAAAAGGTAATCAACACTTTTAATTTAGAGCTTAACATGAACGCTAAACTCTCTGTTGTAATTTGAATTAACATAATTGTAATGAGACCTATAATTTACCATCACTCTAAAGGAAGTTTAAGAACAATTAAGGGAATAGAGGATGCAGCACAAAAATAGCCCCATCCCTCATACCAATTTAAAACCACAGTACAATCAACCAAGTGAAAGGCACTTCTATCTTGCATTGCAATATTCAATCCACAGGTGATGGAAGACTAAGAGTTAAAAGCTTGCAACATCRTTTAAACCCCAGCCTCCCCACTGGGTGAAGGTTAAATCGATCTTTCCCAGCTTCTTAACTCATCACTCACCCTTTCACACAGGCGTTCTTTGACATGAAAAACTACTATAAAATATACTCAACTAGTGAGGTATAGGATTGTTGCTGTTGCGTACACTGTTAAAAATAACTTTGATCAAAGTGTCTTCCAAGCAAGGTGAGAGCATTGTCCATCCCTTTACCATTGGCAGCAGCAGCAAGGGACTATTAAAGACCTTACAGACTTCAGGCCCAGGAGCCCACACACAGATTAACCTGACCAACTGCAACAGTCAAATCCTCATGAGAGATTTTTCTGATTAAGTACAGAACACTGGCCTCGTGTGTTGTAACAGATGCCTCAAATGGGTCCCTCAGCTTAGGAAGACCTGGAGTCACAAATGTACTTAGCCCCTTTAAAGAATATAAAGTTTAACAATTTCTTTTTCTGCAAAGAAACATGGGGCAAGGTGTTACTTCCCCTTCCCCTGCCTTCTCTCTATTATTTAGAAACAGATTTCCTGGAGCTCATAATGACTTTCYRTATTRCCGTACCAGGAGATATRGGATGATGYCCCAGCTCAGACATTAACTGCATTMATGCCCTTCTGTCCATGAAATGCTTGTTTGTAGATGCCACAATAGTATTAATCTGCTGAAAGGACACGAAGACTTCCACCATGTCATCTTCTTACTGCAGTGCACCAAGGAGTTCACCCTTGCAGATATGATCACAGTCAGAATACACACACACCTGCATTTCACTATAAGCATGCAAGGGAGTATGACTACCTGGAAGAATTCCTCTGTTTTCCTTTGCTCCAGTCTATTTTATGCGGAAAGAGGAATTAAATACCTAATAATCCCAGCACTTGGGAGAAGAAAAAGCAGGAGAGAGGCTGTATCCAGYGCTGTGTCACACTAGAAATTCTCTATAGATTAAAACAAAACTAAARAGGGCAACATTTGGATACCAGCCAGTTCAGAGATGAACAGTGCTTCAAAGCCAGGCTGGATGGGACTATGAGTGACCTGATTCAGTGGAAAGTGTCCCTGCCCATAGCAGAGGGTGGCACWAGATGATCTTTAAGTTCTCAATTCTATGTTAAGTTAAAAAAAACAAACTAAAAACAAACACAAAAAGCTACCAAGCCCACAGAGCTCACTCTGGTATTTTCACCATTCTCCCTGCAACAGTAAAAAAGCATAAGTGCAAATACACAGATTTCCAAAAGCTCTGAAAGTGCTCTGGAGACTCAAAGGGGAAATCAAACCCTGGCTTTCGTATCTCTCATCACAAGGTCTTCGTGAATATCCARCTTGGCCTGTACAGTCTTGCAGCCTTTATCAGAGTAGATCTTCTGCTCCTTGGGGAAGTAAGTCATCTCATCAGCCACTGCCTGAACAATGTCCTCATCCACGACATAGCCACGGGCTGTCATTTCAGCCCTGACACACATCTTCACATGCCTGTGCTCCAGGGGCAGGAAAGGGACAAAGTAGTCAATGAGGTTCCTGTCGATGATGCTGCTGTGCCACAGCCCACCTGGATAAATTGGGGGGAAAAAAATCACAGGATGGAGTTTCTCTGAACTTGATCCTGCCTGTTACAGGATTTACAGGCCAGGCTGAATTCACAAAGCAGTTTGTCTCAGCCACTGAGAAATACGTTTCCCATTTTTGGGGCAACATRACTTACTATTCTTGTTGTTGAAGACTCCTACAGACAGCAAGGGTTCCAGATCTTTCAGCTGAATATCTTCCCTRCGCTTTCCACTTGTCCAGAAGTCAAGAGCTGCTTTGTTAATTAAATCACCACCGGCATTGCTGATCATAAAAGAAAAATGTACAGTGGTGAAATACACACACAACCAAACCAGTATTTCTTTTGCAGCCACTTACACATATTACTAATCTCCTTGATATCAAACAAATCATCAAAAAGAATCCTGTAAGCCAAAATTTAGGGAAATCTCCAGTTCTTTAAGTAGCCATCAATGTGTGGTGGGTTGCCCCCAGCCAGCAGCCAAGCACCTACAGAGCCACTTGCTTACTCTCTCCTGCCTCAGTGGGACAGAAGGASAAAATAGGAAGAACAAAAGTATGAAGGCTTGTGGGTTAAGATTAAGGTAGYTTAATAGGTAATTAAAAGAGGAGAAAACCAAGGAGGACTAAAGAAATAACTCACCACCCCACAGTCAGACCATTGCCCAGGCAAATGCTGAAAACCCATCACCTTAAAGCTGAAAACCACTTTTTTCTTCTATCATGATGTTTTCATTTCTGWGCATGACACGAGACAATACTGAATGGGCAGTTTGGGTCACCTGTCCCAGCTGTGTCCCCTCCCATCCTCCTGCCCACGCCAGCCGACTGAGGGAAAAACCTTGAGGCTTTGCAAGCACCATCCAGAAACAACCAAAACATTGGTGTGTTATCAACACTCTCAGAGCCACAAATCCAAACCAGCTGCTCTGAACAGTTTAACTCCATGCCAGGCAGAGCCAGTGCATGGTGCACTCATCCCAAAATGAGAACTCTCCTAYAACCTGTGCTCTGGGCCAGGTTCATGAGCTCAGCACGCTGCAGTGGCCCTGCACAGCATTAGACCTGCCTCACTATAGCCACAGGCATGAGCTCCCCTTTGCATAGAGAATCTTCACTCCAGAGCATTTCTTCTGCTTTTCTTTGAATGAGGTCCCCAAGAAACATCATTATCATCATAAATGAACACTCAGTATCTCAAAATGATAGAAATTGGTGCCACAGACCTGAGGAAGATGAAGATGGCTTTCCTGTAGGACACCCCATCAACCTCCTCATAATAGTCTAAGAAGGGCTTGATGGCATCAATGACACCKGGATGCATTTTGTCCATTTCATCAAAAATGAACACAGAGGAAGGACAGGCACTCACATTGCCCCGAATCCAGTTCTGCAGCTGCTCCTGGAAAAAGAGGTTGAAAACCACTGAAAAATGAAGTCTTTACTGGATGTACTGCAAGATTCTTCTATGTGACAGACTCTCAGCATCCCACACTCACAGGYTGATGATGGAAAGAGGAAAAAAACAAGCGAAGGGAATCACTCACCCAACACATGCAGACCAATGTCCAGCCACAATTAGTGCAACTACCACCCTGGAACCCAATGCCCCCCCACTTTTTCCTTCGTCAACCCCCGTTTTTAAGGTTGAGCATGACAGCATGTGGTATGGAATATCCTTCTGGCCAACGAGAGTCAGTTGTCTAGGCTCATCCAATCTCAGCCCATCCCAGCCAGCTTGATATGGGTGGGGAAAACCAGCAAGCTTGGAGGCGGTGCAAACACTGTTACATTACAACCAAAACAGTGGTGTGTTATCGACATTATCAACACTGTTTCAGCCATAAATGTAAAACACGGCCCTGCGGGGGCTATGGAGAAGGTTCCTTCCATTCCGGACAGCCAGGATATGCAGCTGGTACGTCAAAATCTCTTTGCAAGGAGCACAGGAATCAGCAGATGGCATCAGTGAGAGGGCAGCGCTAGGAAATGGAAACTAACTCACGTTTCACTTGTTTTTTTGGTGCTTTTTACTTTCTGCATAAACTTCCCTCTCCGTCTCTGCTAAGCATCAACTTTGGAATACCCAGCTGCACGCTTCCAGCTGTCAGGGATAGGAATCACAGAATATTCCGMGTTGGAAGGGATCCACAAGGATTATTGAGTTCAATTTTTAAATGAATGGCTCACACCCACTCGGGGATAGAACTCACAAGTTTAGCGTTACCGGCATCATGCTGTGACCAACAGAGCTCCTCCGAGGACAAGATCCTAGCAGGGGGTTTAGGGACTGAACTGGGGGCGACTGGGTCACTTCGTGCCCCTCCTCACCTTGTARAGCTTGACCTGGTCGTGGTGGGGGAAGTGCAGGGTGGCCAGGAAGAGATGCACGAACTTGCTGCGCAGGCCGGCGGGATGGACGTGTTCCGCCAGGATCTGGCTGAGGAAGTTCTTGCCGGTGCCGGCCCAGCCGTGCAGCGACAGCATCAGCGGCTTCTTGGGGCTGGGGTTGTTGCTGAAGCCCAGCACCGCCTTCAGCACCACGTCCTTAGCCAGGTGCTGCCCGAAGAGCCTGTCGTCCAGCTGCGCCTTGAGCGCTGCGGGGAGAGGGACAGCTCAGCACCGCCGGTCACCGCGCACGCCCCGGGGCGCGCTGCCCAGTGACCGGCCGAGCTCGGGGCAGCCCGGCCGCCCCCCGCCCCCGCCGTACCGCTGGCGTTGAGGCGCTGCCCGGCGCGGGGGCAGCACTCCACGTAGTTGCAGTAGAACCTGGGGTGGGACAGGTAGCCGGTGAGCGCCGAGGCCACGCCGATAGCCAGACCMACACTGAGCGGCTCCAGCGCCGCCAGCCCCGGCAGCAGCGCCCACAGCAGCGGCACCGACCGCGCCATGGCGGCCCCGCGCGCGCGCCCTGCGCCCATCGCGCCTGCGCGGCCGCGCGGCCCCGCTCCGTGAGGGGAAGCCGCCGCCGCCATCTTTGTGCCGGGCAGAGGTGAGGGCAGGGCGGCGATGGCGGAGCTCCCGAATCCCGGCGTGTGGGAGGACGGAAAGGATCGCAGCGCGTCATCCTGTTACCAAATCCGCCGGGTAAATTAAACCCTCCAATACCGGCTTTTCAGTGCCCGCCGGAAGATAACATTTCTTAGTGTTTGCGAGGAAGGCGTTATTCATTCTGGCCAGGCCAAACAAATTGCAGCCTCCACATAGACACAAAAWTTTTTCACTTATTTATACATTTTTAGCAAGCAAAGAGTTTATTGCTCATCGATTCTAAATTACATATTTTTCTTTCATTAATTAGTATTCTACCTTCTACTGGTTATTGATTCATCATTTCTTAYGCTAATTAGTCCATATTTTTAGTCTTTTTAGTATCTTGTTCCTCTAGTAAGGACTTTCCAATGCATATACTGTCTTTATCTTCTGKTTTCTGCAAAAYGTCCTTTTGGTCCATAATTTCTACATTCCAGATGTTCAACCTCAACAAAACGTATTTCTCTCCCAAGCTTTGTTCATTGAGGTGTATCAGAGTTAGTTTATCAAAATGTAAAGTTTCAGTAGTTTTCCCAAGCTGTGTTGGGAAGTGTTCTGTGCCTGTTGTCTCGTGTCCTTGGCACCACTGGGGAGAGCCTGATCCACCTTCTTGGTGCCCCTGCTTTAGTTATTTATACACATTGATGAGATCTATCAATTTGCCACCTTAATGATAAACCAGCACAGCCCATTTCTGCCAATATAAACCATGGAACCAGCACGAAAAATGCTCCAGTACTGCTCTGAGAAGCAGGTTACAGGACCGTTTGTGGGATAAGGAATAATAGGTTAAAACAGCCTCTGGTTTATAGAGCTGCTRAGGGTGGTAACCCTTGTCTTCCACAACCCCACCAAAGAAAGCTCTCACCATGTGGGAAGGAGCACCAGCTTGGCCCCRTATGCCCTTGCCATAACCTTACCTCTGTAGTTCAGAGTGTCATTCTTTTTGCAGCACTCCTGGAAGTGGCACTTGAGCCAGGTCTCGGAGGAGAGGAGACGCCAAGCCACGACAGCGCTTCCCACAACGATTGTAGTGCTGAGAGGGTCAAAAGCCGGCGTCAGAGTGGGCACAAGAAGAAAGATTACAGCAGCTTTCAGGAGCTTCATGATGGGAGCTGAGCGCCAGCCTGGATCATSAGGAAAAGAAACCAAAACAGAAACTGCAGAAAAACTTCCTGGAGTGTGGAGCCTGGGGTTGCTTAAGGGGCTGGAAGCCAAGACTGCTGTAAGATCGAGGTGTTAATGAGTTAACAGACTTATCACGCTGCTGCAGGAGAACTGAAAGTGTTGTGAACAGARCATTGCATAGGCAGAGTGAGAGTTTCACTAGAACAAACCCAGCTCTGATGGGAGGAAAACGGGAACCTCACTGCATCCTAACCAAGGTGCTAATTGGGCTGGTGATTAACGGAGAACACAGAGATGCTTGTTTTGGAATTAATTGCAAGTGGTTGTGCACACAACATCGCACAGCCYGAGGATTTCCGTAGCAGTGCCTGGGGCTTTGTGATTCATAGCACTGAATGTGTCAGAAAGCTGCTGTATTAAAAACAAGTTCTCAGAGCAGATTTTTTTGTCCTGACAGCTTCACTATCTCACCACCACCAAAAAAAGTGCGTTTGTAAAAAAAGGACAGACACCGAAGCAAGTTTTGTTTTCTCAGCACTTTTTTTTTAATGAAAAGAATTGTGAAACTCATTTCTAAGTAATTCCCATTTAGTTTTAAAATCTCATTGGAAAAACACTAAGCAGTGTTAATAAATGTTCAAAAGACCTGCTCATGATTAGATGACTGTCTTGATAAGAGTGCCCAGTGCTGCCGACTGCCGAGCAGCCAGGAAGTGCTGCAATTCCCTCTTTTGAGAGAATCCAGGCTGTCAGCTGCCATGGAGCCTTGAGGTGGGCACAGCTTGGACTCTTGGCTCCTCATTCCAAGGCGGTTTGCCCCGGTGTCCTCCAAACCCAGGGTGGGCTGCTGAGCACCAAGGGAGCAGGGCTTCCAGGGTTTCCAGCTCTTCACACACAGAGGCTGCARAGAGGCCAGAGGAGAGAACTAGCAGTGGGATATTCAGGATTCCATGTTGTCCGGACTCTGTCCGAGCTCACTTGGAGACAACTCAAATAAATTTTACCAAGTTTAATACCGCTGAAAATACTCAGAATTCTCCACTCATCTCTTTCCTCTGCAGCGAGTCCCTCTGCATCTGTCCGTGGTGAACACTAGATGGAGCATAAGACACAGGGTTTGGTCCAGGATTTACATGGGAGAACAGACTTTGCAGAGAACTGAATCATGTTGGAGGAGTGTGGACTCCCGACTGCAGAGCAGATCACTTGTGTTATGAAACGTGATTTCTTGAGATACACAACAACCCGGCACCGCAGCTGCTGAGGGATCACAGTGAGCCAGGGCCGTGAGGGTCATTTCAGCAAAACAGCCGAAGTCATCCTACAAAGGAAAGCAGAGAATTTGGATAAAGAAACAAGACTGTTGAGCTGGGATCTGCAGATTCCTGTCTGATCCCTCTGAATAAAAATATGAACAAGTTGCCTTGATCCACCTCTCAGACTTGAGCAGGTATTTCACCATTTCCCCGTAGAATTAGTGTGGTCCAGCAAACACAGATGTGGCCTGTCACCCCTGAATCTCTCTGGGATAATGGATAGGGCCRTGTTGTTTCTTGAAAAGGGTAAATCAGTTTAATGACAGTCTTTTCTGACTGATGTGTGAGGTGGGCAAGGAGATGCTCTGAGCAAAGTTTTTGTTGTGCTCTTGTGTGTTTTTACAAGGTCTCACCAGCCTGGAAGGGACTGCATCTCCCAAAACACAGATGGGAAATGCAAAATTATGTGCTAGAAACAGCACAAAGAAGGAGAATTACCTCATCTGTGCAAAAAGAAGGGGTAGCATGAGACACATCTATAGATCTTCTCCTTTCCATGTKGGAGGGAGGTGGCATATATTTCCTATACAACAATAGGACGTATGCTACATAACAGGTACCAGATGGGTGTTTAAATAATCTTCAGCTGCTGCATGTCATGCTGTTATCTCATTATCCGTTACAAGTTAAATGGGTTCAAGCTGGGCCTGGACATGGATGAGATGTCTAATAGTAGTGGTGAGGCTGACATTGATGGCAATTTCCTTGAACAGCAGTCTGGAAGCTCCAAGTGGAGCACAGACCTTGCAACACACAGTCCACAGTGCAGTGTTTTGTGCCTGTTGTGTTGAACATGTTGTTCTTTCACATCAACACCCTCCAATGTCCTGGGCACAGAACTGGCATCCTGTCATGCATTGACATTGYCCTCCTGACAGGGGGTAGGGTGGTTGGCCAGCAGTGGGGCATCTTGAAGCAGCTGCCACAAGCTGGAGGTACTGAAAATCTGCAGCAGAGAAGAACTTTGGAAAGGTGTTCAGTGCAAAACAGGCTTGGAGTGTCTGTGATTTGGGGTGTTGATCAGCAGTGGAAGTGGTGTGGTGAGAAGGAGAGGGTATGGAAGAGGAAAGAACATAGCAGGGAGTACAGACAGAAGGAAGATAGGAATTTGGGGATCAGTGGTATGAGCTAGGGGATGTGAGGGTTTGCAATGTGTAATTTGGAGTGTTAGAGCTGTTGTGGTAGAGAAGGCCATGGAGATGGGGTTTCTGTATTGCAAAGAAAGAGATAAGGGATGCAGAGATGGAGTATTCRAGGCCAAGGGTGAGGAGAGGAAAGTCTCAGATGAGATTTTTGCCTGGCCTGACCCTGCTTTTGGTGTGTTGGAATTTCCTGCCACCTGCAGTTTGATTGGTTTAAAGTCAGCATTCTCAAGACTTTGGTCTCACTTTGAGYTTTGAGCTCTGTGGCAGAGTGCTCAGAGAATCTGGGATGTGGGTGGTTAGCAAGGCTTTCTCATCACAAGGCAGCAGAACTCCCAGCTGGCTGGTGAGCCAAGGAACATGTCTCCAGGGAGGGAACAGGGTGCTGGGAATCAGGGCTGGAGCCCTGTCTTCRGTTCATGGAGTGCAAGAGTTTTCCAGGTAAGAATTACAGGATCAATGAATCAATGCTTTTCCCAGAAAAAGTCTGTATTTTTGTTGGAGGATGTATAAGGTCCTCAGTATTTCCRAATGCTTTGTGAAAGAGGTTTGGAAATGTGCTGTTTTACATGAGGTGCTGGGCTGGCAAGAGGTTCTTGCTGAAAGTTTCTAACTGGAGAAGAAGAGCTGGRAGACTCATTTTTCCCTACATTCATTTCTACATAATCTCTCCCTGACTCTGGCTAGATGCTCTCTAATTGTTTGAGTTTTTCTGAGAGGATTTTGCTTTATTTTTACCCTTTCCCCCCCTCCCCCTTGTACGTGTGGTTTCGTTTTGTTTTCTTTCTCTGCTTTAATTTCAGCATCATYTTCCCAAGTGCTGCTTATCCTAAACATAGAGATGAGACAGTGACAGGAAAGGGCTGCCACTCTGACGTACATTGGGATCTTTAAAAAGTGGGATTGTGGTGGGCTTTATCCAAATACAGAGCCTGGCTAAGCTCTGAGGACTACACTAATGCTGTGGAAAGGCTCTGACTCATGGAATGTGTTCCTTGACCTTTCTACAATGTGACAGGAGCAATAACAYAAAACACCAAAACCTACAGATGTTGTCTAATCCTAGAAACACCCAAGGAGTAAAGAGCTTGCCATCCTTCTCTTGCAGGTAGGAAAAATGATGTTTGGGGATGATGAAAGTTTTTTTTACGAAAGTAGTTCATAGCAAAGGGTTTAACATTTCTGTTTTGTCACTGAAATATTTACTCAAGAGCTAGAGCCGTGATTTGACTTGGACAGGCTTCAAAATCCTTGTCTTGGGTATAAAATCACAGAGTCYCTTGGGTCAGTGTGTGGTGCTGTGCTGTGTGAAGAGGGACAGTCCAACAGGGAAATAYATGAATGAGCTTGGGATCTGAGTGAAGTAGAACATTATATACTTGTCCAATAAATCTGCCCTTGTGAAATAATTCCTTTGATCACGTCTGAACCCTTGTGAAATTCTGATGTACCAGGAGGGTTGGATTTTGCTCTGAAATTTTGTTCTGATTTTGTCTCTGAAAAATTCAATTGAGAGGTTCTTCACTACAACATGAAAAAAGTGTTTCCCATCTGGATGCCCAATCTCAAAACCCTTTTCCCTGAGCCTGGACTGCAGCYAGAGAGCAGACTTTTGCAGGGTCTGGTGAAAACCAGCCCAGAGGACCTTCCAAGGTTTGGATGTTGTGGTGTTCCACAGCAGAGCTTTCCTTCCCAGAGCAGCTGGGCCCGAGCAGTTGTCAATACTGCCGGTGCTCTTTGGCTGTGGTGAACACTGACAGCTTCTGCAGTGGGAGAAAAAATGTGATTTTTAATCTAATCCTGCGTGGTTTGCAGCAGGTGGAGCTACACAGGTCATGTTACCTGATAGGGATGGGAGTGAGAGGCAGGGGAGGGGACGCATTTAAGCCAAGCTCAATGTGTGGGTGAGGGAAGCTGCCATCTCACATTTCTTGTCTACTGTGGGAACTTGCTGGAAATTTAATGTTTTATAGATAAGCACAAGGTGACAAAGCTGGCAGGACACTTCTCTGCTCTTTATGGAGTGAGTCCTGGTGCTGGAACCTGTATGATCTTTCAGTTATATCAGCTTCATCAAGGAATGATGGATGGAGGTGGTCTTTCTCAGAACAAGTTGCCTGGCAGTGAAACTGGCTCTGTTCCCTCACAATCCACTGTGTTCCAGAGCAGAAGGGATGGAAGAAGGCAGCCCTTTGGCTTTGGATAGAATCAGAGATTTATGTTCATGTGAACAGGAGCTGCCAGGGCTGCCACAGTGGCAGGCTTGGAAGAGAAGAGTTTTTAAATCTATGCCCAGGTGATCCTAGCAGGTGCCCTTTTCTCAAATATTGTTTGAGACTTTTGACTTTTACATCCTRGACATGCTCCAGTCTCGTATTTTTGGGCYGGGAATAAATAGGTTAAGGAACAGYTTGGAGAAAATTGCTGTTTAGAGTTTAATTACTGGTTAGATACCAGTAAACTACTGTTAATTACCAGTGCTGTGAGACACTGGGACTCAGGTGGGTATTTTATGGGCTGCCTTGGGCGTCTGCTGTTGCAGGGCAAGAGGACACAATA